GGAGAGACAAATCTAAAAATAACATGAATAAAGAGCCCAGGCTGCCAAACACACTTTGGAGAGATGCTAACAGGACATTAGGGAGTGCTACCTAAAAATGACTTTAAGTGAGATATAACTTACTTCCTCAGGTGATCCTCAGAAGCAAAAGGAGGCTGAGCTTCAACACCAGGAACTTTCCTCACAAGTGGGAGGATGCAATGACTTTGCAACCCTCTTAAATATTTTTGAACAGTGCAAAGCAAGGTATAAAATGATCCCTTACAGTAAGTGGTTTTGCATTGCTCATAACTCCCAGGTGCTGCCAGTCCTTAGATGTGCTGCACATACACGTGTGTCTTCATGCCTGATTGCAGATTTATTCCTTCTTTGAGCTGTAATTTCTGTCATTATTTAAGCCAACAAAGTATCTGCTGTGTAGGTTGTTGCCTTTGTGTGACCATAACGAAAAACAGAGGCAAGTTTCTGCCTTCAGCTTCCAAAGGGCTTCTTTATAATACAAGTATTTCTGTTCTCAGCAAGTCTCCCTCAGCCTGGTGCCAGAGACACTGGATCCATTGGAGGGCTTTAAAATCTGCTTTTAGCGTGGAAAAACAGCTCCGGGAAATCACCAGTAAACTGAAAGAGGTAAAAAATGTAATTTCTAGTTCTGTTTGAGTTATGTAAGTTTATATTTCAGACATGTACTGGACCACTGAGCCTTTGCCAGATGGCTGCTGCCTTCCTCATGTAGAAACTAATCCACTTAAATATTTTTTTAGAGCATCCTTGCTTGTGTAACTAACAGGTATGATGGTGGGAACAGGCAAAAAGGAGAGTTTTTCCCCCTTTCCTCGTGGTTTCTGTACAGTGAGAAACCCAGAGTTTAAAATCCATGGGGTAGAGGGGGTGTAACTGCTTTTTCTTTAGGAAAGATCCTGATTTGTGTTGTTTTTCCTTTACACAGCTGCCAGACTTCCCCAAAGAGACATTTGAAGGCTCCAGAACTGAAATACTGAGGAGGTGCCTGTGTGCAGGATACTTCATCAATGTAGCTCGGAGGTGAGGAAGGGAGTTTGGAGAATGGGATGGGAAAGATGTCACACACATTATTTGTATATATATTTATATCCAGAGGGCTGTGTGCTGGGAAAAGGAGTAACTGCAGCTGTAGGAGGTGTTTCTGTGCAGGGCTGGAAGCTTTGTAGGGTCTCTGCTTTTCACTGTCATTACTATTCCAAGGATGTAAGAAACTTCTCCAGGAATGTCATTTTTCTATCTGTGGGATGAACTCCCAAGCTGATGGGTAGTTCCAGGCATTAAACTAAAGGGCTTGGAAATTTCCAGTAATCATGTCTGTCAAAGGCTCCACTCCCAAACCCTGTCCTTATTGTGTTGCTGTATCTGCAGTGCTACTGTGGTAAATCAGATATATTTTATTCCTCATTGGTTTTTTGTTGGTTTTTTTTTTTACAGTTTAATTCTGGAATCCCCTTTCTCTCCTTAAATATTTGACTTTCTCTACTTAGATATTTGACTTTTGACTTTCTCTGTGTAGATATTTGAGTATTTTGTCTATGCTGCAGCTGATTAGCTTAGTTCAGTCTTGCTGTCCGTGTTGCTGTCTGATCACAGCAAAGTGTGTTTTCGTTATTTGTTTGTTTATTTATTTTCCCCCAACCCTTTCAGATCTGCAGCCAGGACATTCTGCACAATGGACGGACATGGCAGCATTGTCTACATCCACCCCTCATCCACAGTGAGTTTCCAAATCTGTTGGTAAAGTAGCAAAGGATCTGTAACAGGAATAAGAGGCAGGTCCCACAAACTCTTCCTGGTGCTTGGTCTGGTGCAGTGTTCATTTGGAGAGTGGGGAAGAGCCTCTTCAAAATTCTCTTCAAAGAACTTCTTCAAATTTGGTGAATGTTTGGCTTATGATACGAGTGTAACACAGACTGAACTTTCTCTCTGGGCAGTTTTAAGCAAGTCATTCCACCTTAATTTCCCTGAAAATTAAGGATAATGTCACCTCGCATCTGAAGCGTTGAAAAACACTCCAGTGAAGGGAGCTCTGGAAGTAAAAAACTCTTTTCAATCAGCTCAGGAAGAATCTTTTTTAACTGATTTTTTCCAGCTGTACAACCAGGAGACTCTGCTGGAGTGGATCATCTTCCACGACGTCACCGTGACGTCCAAGATCTACGTGCGGACGGTGTGTCCCGTGCGCTACGAGTGGGTCAAGGACCTGCTGCCCAGGCTGCACCAGATCGATGCCTACGAGCTGAGCAGCGTGGCCAGGGAGGAGGTGACAGAGGAGGAAATAACCAGGTGGAAGCACAGGGAGGACCTGAAGAGGCAGTTTGGTGAGCACAGGGAGTCCGTGTCCATGGGGCAGCTTCTTGGTGGTGTGGACTCCTGTTATGTCACTGGATTCATTCTGGCCTGGAATGAATTTTTTCATGTTTGCACGTTTGATATGTGTGGTTCTGGCTGTTCTCTTTTCTCTGCAATCCTTGTTTTCTGTCTCTGCAGTGTGAATAGTGGTGTTTCCTTACTGGCTCTTGCCGAGGTCCTCCCTTCTTCTGGCTTCCTAGAGCTCACAGGGGCAAAACTTTAACACAGAACTGGCTAAAAGCATTTTGAATCTGATTATTTTGAGTTATTATCTGATTATTTAAGTTTATAAAGGCTTAATTAGTGGAAGGAAAGGCTGCAGCATGAGCTGAATTATTATTTGACTGCAAGACGGAATAATTACAAATATTCTAATGGAATAGAATAGAAATATCCCAATAATTACAAATAGTCTAATAAAGGGTTTCTAACCATAGATACCCAAATAAGACTGTCCCGAGAGAGAGAAGTCCTAAGGGCTATGGAAAGGAGGGGAGGGGAAAAAAATCAACCCAAAAAACCTCACCCACCAAAAAACATGAAGGAAAAAGCGTCACATTTTGGTGAATGTCTCCTTCTGACAGTGAGTTTAATGCCATATGTTTCAATAGTTTTAATTAAGACTGGTGCCTGCTGACTGATCTGCTGCTTGACATTCTCTGAATTCTTCTGTCAGCAGGTCCCTAAAGCAGCCAAGTATTCCAAGGGCCTCTTTCCTCCCGAGCTGACCCTTCCAAAACATCCACTTTAATGTACAGCACAGGCACTGGCAATATTGATTCTCTTCCATTTCCTTAAAATGGAGACTGCTGGGCTCAGAGAGTGTGCACTGTTGTATAAACCCACCATTTTAAATGATAAAACCTACATTTCATGTGGTTATAAATGGGATAGGAAAGGATATTTGCATTGTTAGGTAATGCAGAGGAGCACCATCCAGCTGAAGTCCAAGGAGCTGAGGTTTGTTCTCCGTGTCCCTCCTAACATTGTGACTTCACCAGGCCATTGTCAATTCATTTGAGATTAATATTGACCTAACAGATGTTGTATTTCTGGGAGCTTCATAAAAATAGGTGGCTGAATAGCTGAGAAAGGCTTAATTAGTGGAAGAAAAGGCTGCAGCAAGAGCTGAATTATTATTTGACTGCAAGACAGAATAATTACGAATATTCTAATAGAATTGAATAGAAATATCCCAATAATTACAAATATTCTAATAAATAATCTAATGTTGATTAAAGCCTCAGGGACAGGCTGCAGTAGCTGCTTCATTCACACAGCTTTTAGGCTCTCAGAGTCTTTGATTAATTTTTTATTATTGTTATTTTAAACTGAAAATATTTCTTGCTTTTCTTGCCTCCTGGGAGAAGCCCTGCCAAGGTCTCAGTGCTGGGGGAGAACCTGCATTCCTGATGGTGTCTGATCCCAATATTGGCTTTTCCCACTCCCTTATCTCCTTGTTGTCCAATCTCTTCCCCCTCCCTCTGGAAATTTTTCAGAGATAGTTTATTCTAAGCCTATTTCCTGTCCCTCTCCTGCCTAAACCTGAGTTGGAGATGAAATGGGTGCATAGAACACGAGATGCACGTTCTGTGTTCCAATAAAACCCAAGGTACACGCTGGGGATGAGAAGAGCCCAGCTGCAAATATTGA